TATCAGTTGTAGCTAACATAAAGAACACCTTGGGCTAACGGGGGACAATTATTTGTAAAATCATGAATCAAGGTTCTGTTTACTGACTTTTTTTTTTGGAGAGGTTTTTGCTATAGGGCACGTGTGCTCGCCAGAAAGACAGACAGAGACAGAGAGACAGAAAGCGAGAAATCACCCCCCGGGGGGGTGGTGGGGAGAATGGCCACATCGCAATTCGTTCTCCTCCATTCTCCTCTCGGGATCCTGGGCAGGCACACACATGCACCCAGTGTGAGTTTAAGCCACCAGGTCTGGGACTTGAACTGTGGTCGACTACATGGGAGTCCAGCAACACAGCCTTTACACCAATTGCTGGTCCCAACATTTTTATCAAGTAAACACATCTGTCAGATCTGAAGCCTCCTTAGTTTATTACAGCAATTTCTTACGGTTGTAAGTGATAAAATGTTTACATTTCAAACACATAAAATACATATTACATTTCCTAGCAGGGGACCAGGCTTAGCCAATATCTTTTCCATAATATAGTTCTCTGATTCAGAGCTTTACTTAAAAAATAGATATTGTCCTTGGGAACCAGCAGTTAGCATAATGGCTATGTTGCTGGATTCCCACGTAGTCGACCGCGGTTCACATTCCAGACCTGGTGGCTTAAAACTCATGCCGGGCACATGTGCGTGCGTGCCCAAGATCCTGAGAGGAGAATGGAGGAGAAGGGATTGCGGCGCGACCATCCCCCCTGGGGATTTTTCGCTTTCTGTCTCTCTGTCTCTCTCGTGAGTGCACGTGCCCTATAGCGAAAACCTCTCAAAAAAAAAAAATAGATATTGTCCTTGAGATTAAAACTGCATGGTAGACTTCATTAGTGAACACTCTTTTTGGTAGTTCCTTGCTTAGAGCCATTAGTCCAATTTTCTTCTTGAACCATAGCACATACACCACCCTGCTCAGTCAGGTGGACAAGCAAGGGAATATGGCAATCCCTGAAATTACAAGCTCCTGAAGCTCACCTCCGTCGTGGGTCAGAGCTTGAACTATGCAATCAGCCAGTCTGATTTCTAAGCCTGAGTCCACTGTTCACTGATTGGTAACCTTGGGTAATTCATTTAGCCTCTCAATTCTTATATTTCTCTTCTATCAAATGAGGATATAAAAGCACCCACTTTATACTTCAGTGGGGTTAGTTACTGTCCTCATCATTATCATCACATCCCAAGCCATCATGGCCATCACCATCATCACTGAGTTCCCAACGATACCCAGGCTAGCACCTTGCCCTGCATGATCGTAGGAAAGCAATTTACATCTGTTATATAACTCATTCAACTACGGATAAATTATAGATTGGGGATGAAAACTACTAGGATTACACATTTAAATTCTCAAAGCACTCCCACTTTACTCTGACCTGATTTTGGAGTGCAAGGAGAAGAAAGTAACTTAACAACTGCACAGACTTTAACCCTATGACATCTGTGTATATGAAACTTTCTAGTATAATTCTTGGCACACTGTAGTAGACATTTGATAAAAGGCGAGATAAAAAGTGCTTGTATTTTATTTCAGTTTTACAGAGGAGACACAGGCCTAAAGAGAGCCATTTGTCCAAAGTATAAGAAATAAGAATGTTGTTTCTGGATAATGTTTGAGTTAAACTGCAGGAGACCAAACTTTTATTTTGTGCTTAATCAGACAGATGGCATTATCTTTAGTAAATGTTTTCTTAGGAAACTCAGGCAATGGAAAATTCCTCCAGAGAACTGCCTGGTTAGCAGGTGTTTTCCACATTATCTAACTGAAGAGCTCTCTGTGGTCTGGTCTGTTTGCCTTTGGGTGAACAGTTGTTTTTTAGAGATTTTTGCTATAGGTCGCATGCGCTCACTGGCGAGATAGATGGAAAGCAAGAAATCAAACCCCACCCCTACCCCTGTGGGATGGCCACGCTGCAGTCCCTTCTTCTCCACCCTCTTCTCGAGATTGTGGGCACATATGCACATGTGCCCAGAGTGAGTCTCAAGCCATTGGATCCAGGACTCGAACCACAGTAGACCACATGGGAGTCTAGCACCTTAAGCAAAATGCTATGCCACCTGCTGGCCCCCAGCTGAGCAGTAAGTAAAAAAAAAAAAAAAAAAAAAAAAAAAAAAAGTACCCTTCCCATCTCTGCAAGATTTTGCTTTGGGATAACCTGGATGGGCCCCAGGAACTAGAACTCTTAAAACATTTCCAAGTGTTTCTAAAGAGACTTCTCCGTTAGCCTTCTATGTTTCTATGCTTTTTGTATATTTATAGATTTTAGCACATTAAAATTCCACCCTCTTTGTAACTTCTCTTTAAAAAAGACTTTTTTTTAACTTTGGAAAGTTATGAAATGTAATAGAAACTAACCAATGTCCTCTTCTGAAACATACAGACACTTGGTTTTACAGAATTGCCAAAATTGTTCAGTAGATAGAGCTTGAATGGTAACTGACAGCTTTTCATTTTATACAGAGCGATCACCTTTTCCCCTTCTGAATTCACATAGCACAATGAATCTTGACCAGATTATTTATCCCTTTGAAATTGACAAGGAGATGTCATTAGTTTTGCATATTGTACTAATAATAACATAAACGATGTATTGAGGTAACCAAAATAGTACAACAACCATGGCAATAATAATGCCTTTGTTCATTGTGTTGGATGGTCTTGGAATTAAGATTAATTAATTGGGACAAAACGTCTTTGCACATCACATGTTCCAGATGAGTGATGGTTGATCCTGAGGAGATAAGAAATTCAAAAGAAAGACCATGTACCCTAATGCTTGTGGGTTAGATTGTTGTGGTTGAGTATTCTAATAATCTAGCTAGTACCTGCAACAGATTCAATGCTGATGCAACAACCCTAAACATGTGTGGTAATTGAGAGAGGTATATAAAAGAGCCCTATGAACCCCCAAGGGGATGATGAAGACCACATAAACAGAACACAAAGAAAACTATATGTAACCACCCCTTTCCTTCCCAACAAGGTTCTTGCTCCAGTTTTCTACATCATAGAAAAGCCCCATTGTTTCAATCTTGGAAGATCTTCTAAGTTTTCCTCTTCCAACTATAAGTGATTGACTTGGCAATGCTTTTACAATACATTTAGTGCATTTTGCATGACGAATTGTTTATGTGCTTAGCACAAATTATTCTCTTTGTTGGTTTGAAACTACTACTTCTAGAAAGCCTTACCCGGCTGAGTGAAATATGATTCTACTAATCTTTGGGTGTATCTTTTGATGATTGATCCAAAGCCATATACATGTAGACATGTAATGACCTCTTATGTATAAGAGCACATATCAGCTGTTCCTTTTATTTTCCCAGGTTGAGGCACCTGGTCCCTTTGAATATACTCTTCCACCTGCCTGGAATACATTTCTTCTATCAGCGACCCCCTCACCTGGCTCTTTTCAGATCTCTGCTCAGCTGCTTCTGTTTAGGGAAGCTTTCTCTGACCTTCCTCTGTTCACTGATTTAGATGATCTTGTAGCACCTCCCTAAGTCTCACTTTTACATTAATTTCTTTACCATTTGATTATTCTCTATGTCTTTTAGAAAGCTATAATCCTGTGGTCCACAAACCCAAGGTCTGTGGAATTTTCTTTTTTGTTTGTGATGAGAGAGAGCAGGAGACAGAAAGACATCTTTAACAGAGTCTTGCCATGCTGTGATCATTGTGTTTCAGCCTGCCTATTAGCTAGAACTGCATGTGCACACCACCTGCTTCACAACCGGAACCAGGCCTCCCAATGTGACCCCAGCCATAGCACGGTGGTGCCCTCCCATTTGCGCCACCACAGCTGGGCCCGCTTTTGTTTTTCAGTATGTTTCCAGCTTTTCGCCCAGTGCCTGGATCTGCTGGGTGGCTGATTATTGAGTGAATAAATGACTAAGAAACTGTGCTTCCTTTTGGAAACAGTTATGGTTCCACTTCACCAAGAATTTTGTAATACTCATTCTTTAAAAAGCTAATAAAAATTTAAAAATTAAAAATGAGTGGTTTAAGAATGATCAATTGTGCAAAATAATAAATTTTACTAAAAATATTTGTTAGTAAGCTGAATTTAAAATCATAAACTATAATTTTTCAAATGTGTACTCAAACTCACCATATTAATATATACTATTTTTATTTCATCAAATCTATTGTCTTTACACTGAAATCATGCTAGAATTTGGTATTTATGCTAAATCTCCTTATTTTTTTTAAATGAAAGCTATGATTTCTCTTCATCATAATGGACTACTTCCTAAACTCTGACTGGAAATGAAGATCTATAAGTTGCCTTTTATTTCTTGGTATCTAAAAAAGCAATGCCCTCTAGAGGCAAAAGTACTCTGAAAAATTTGCACAGACTAAGCTTAGGCTTTATTCCCTAACTTGCTAAACAGCCCACTTAAATTCTGTTCAGTCAGGAGTAACACTGCCTGATTTACTTTTGCAGACTGTGGGACCTTACTCTAAATCATAGGAATTATTTACTCACAAGACTTTTTGTTGTAAATGAGAGTTTGGGCATTGTCTTAACAAGAGATCCCTACATTCATAAAGCCACCTACATCAGCATAACTGTGACACAGTACCTCTGGGCTAAGATTAGGGTAAAATGTGCAGACGTGAAAATAGTTAGGTTTATGTAGCAAGCAGTTGAAGTTTCCCTCTTCCTACTGTTGCATGGTCTTTCTGGTAATGTCAAATCAGTTGATTATTCTAGCCTTAGACCCAAAAAGAAAATAAAATTTGAAAGAACTCACTTGGTGTGTCATGAAATTAGCGTATTTTCTTAATAAAATGCCCTGTGGAGACACCAGAGGCACTTTCATAGTAGTGTCTGGGTGAGCCAAGAACCAGCTGACAAAGGATCAAAAGAGATGTGGCACATATTTTGCTATCACTGGATGCTTTGTAATAGTAGACTTTATGGTCATGCATGTTTTATTCCGTCTTTGCTTCATGTTTTCCAGAGGGATAATCAATTGGCCGGTAGAGTAACAAATGAAAAGTAACTTGATTCCACTGACCTGCTTAGCCCCACATGGGAAGGATGGAAAGAAGCAGCCCTTTGCTTTGAAACAGTGGAACAGGTATGGTTGTTGCCTTCTGTTTCTTCATACATCTATTTCCAGACCAGTTGAAAACAGCGAGTTGTTCCTGCTTGAGTACACAGTCGGACTTACAGGGACAGGTACTGTGGGTTATTCATAACATTTCTGAGTCGCTTCATCTTCAGGTTTCTATTTGTATAAGGGCTACTGCCAGAAAGAGATAATTATTTCAAACAGCAAATGAGCAATCATGCTTGGGAGAATTGTTACTTTTAAACATAGCATGCACATTTTGGATGTGTTTTTGGCTTTAAGATACATTATATAAATAGATTTCTATAGAGAAATCATAACATTACAAAATTGTGGTGCTGCCTTCCTGAATGGCGTCCATTGAAAGTGTTTTCCTGTTTAATGATCTAACCTCTCCCACCCACATTCATTTCTCTCAGTTCCGAAGACACCCTGCTCAAAAAGGCTTAGTCTGACTTTTTCCATTTTTCAGAATTCACATAGCAGGTTTTCTTTCTTTTTCTTTGAAAGGAAAATTTCATTTCAATGTGAATTTTTTATATCAGCACTCTTAGGACCCCTAGATTCTAATTCTATTAGAATCTTTAAAACTGTTGCTTATTTTGAATCGATGTCCATTGTCATCAGGGTGCTCTGCTTTCTTTCAATGATATTATCAAGGAACAGATAAGCATATGTGGTTTGCTAGTGACTTATAGGGGTCAATGCTTCAAGAAATTATTATATTAATGGCACTATAATGCAGCTAGAAAGTAATTTTAAGTTTAGAAGATTAATTATCATATACTGGATGACCAAAATTAAATTACTTAATGACTTTGCATGACAACATTTTTCCCTCATTGGATGACTTACAGATAAGGAACTATGAATAAATAATAAAGACTTGAATTTTGCATAGGAATTAGAATTCAAAAGGCTGTAGAGAAAGGATTCATAAAAATTGTATTTTATAAAAAGAATTAAATAAGGGTATGGCTCCATTATTGCGTTTAAAGTTATTTAGGAAGAATTTTTAAGGGATGCTTTGACTATGACTCTGTCCTTAATATGGTCTCAGGACATATCTTTATTTTTACACATTAAGAGTTTCAATGTATTGCTTTATCAAATCTAAAACTAAATGTCATCTAAGTCAATAATACATGAAGAATCTGGTTTCTAGCACAGCAAGGAGACAGAAAAGCAGTGTAGTGGCTGCTTGATACATGAAGCAACCTTGCAGGCTTTTGGTTCCTTTAAGTTTTAGTCCATGGAGTCAGCCAACCACTAACATTACGACCAATTATTATTGGCCAACTGTCTTTTTCTTGTATTCCACTATTATACAAATGGATTTTTTTCTATAGAGTGCATACACTCACTAGAGAGGAAGAGAGAGAAAAGTGAGAAATCACCCCCTAGGGTGAATGGCCATGCCACAAACCCTTCACTTCCATTCTCCTCTGAAGATTTTTGGCACATACACAAATATACCAGGTATGATTTTTCAAGCTACTGTGTCTGGGACTCAAGCTGTGTAGTAGGTCACATGGGATCCAGTGCCTTAACATCCGCATCACCTGCTGGCCTACAAATTGGCTTTTTAAAAAAGTACTTTAGTGGGAACCAGCAGTTAGCGTAATGGCTATGTCGTTGGACTCCCATGTAGTCGACCACGGTTCGGGTCCCGGACCCGGTGGCTTAAAACTCACGCCGGGCGCATGTGCGTGCGTGCCCAAGATCCCGAGAGGAGCATGGAGGAGAAGGGATTGCGGCGGGACCATCCCCCCTGGGGGGTGATTTCTCGCTTTCTGTCTCTATGTCTCTCTCTGTCTGTCTGGCGAGCGCACGCGCCCTACAGTGAAAATCTCTCCAAAAAAAAAAAAAAAAGTACTTTAGGGATCAGCAGATGGCATAATGGTTACATTGCTGGACTGCCATGTAGTCAACCGAGATGCGAGTCCCAGATCTGGTGGCTTAAAACTCAACGCCTGGCATACGTGCCTAAAATCCCAAGAGGAGAATGGAGAAAAAGGGATTGCCATGCCCCCGTGAGGAGTGATTGCTCACTTTCTGTCTCTCTATCTGTCTTTCTGGTGAGTGAACGTGCCCTATAGTAAAAATATCTCTAAAAAGTAAAAAATAAAGCACTTTAAGGGAATATATCTGTCTAGAAGAAAATCTCTTGGGACTTGGGTAAAGAAAGTGAAATAGACAGTAAACTCTCTATCACCCATTCTGAATATTAACCCATTCACACCATAAATAGTTAACCAGTAGATTTCATTTGGCAGGAATCAATTATAGAGTGATTAGATTCCTAAATGGAGCAACGATTTGGAAAAATTCATAAACTAAAGGAATAGCTAGTTATCCTGTCTTTCTGGTATGAGTTTCTATATATGAAACTGAGAAATAAATTTTCTTTCTTTTTTCCCCTTGGGAAACAGTATAGAGAGGATTAGGCCTGAGACAGGGACAGATGAGTCCCACACTTTAGAATCAAATAGATCTGAATTCAAGATTCACCTAGGCAACTTACTTCTGGCGATTCAGTTCCACCATCTTTGAAATGAGAGAGCAAAGCAGAGGGATATATGTTTATTGTCACTTAGGAGTTACCATCTACTAAGCTTTAGAAGTTCACATTTATCGTCAAATGGTGAACTTACCATGGGTCAGAGCAGTAAATATAGTCCCGTTCTCAGCCTTGCAGGCTTAACTAGCTCACTTGGGCTGCACTGCAAGATCCGGGCCATTGCTGAAGGCCAAACTCCCTGTAGCTGTGTTCTCAGGATGCCTGGTAAACACTGGATGTCTATTCATTGTTTCATGAAGGGAAACCACTATACTGGGAATCTAACCTCTATGTGAACATGTTCAGTCCAGGCTCTAGCTCAGGGAAAAGCAAATCATCATCAGATGTCAGTTTATTAATTTACTCTGAGACATAATTGTCACATGTCCAGCCCAAAGTACTGAGTCCACTTGACCAGGGTATTTGCTTTCTCAAGAAAAACTTACATAAGATGCCAAGATGCACCATCATACTTACAGAGCTCATGGGCAGATTAACCTGTACATGAGCTCCCCCCCTGCCTCAGCGAGATTATCTTCACTGAAAAGGAGTGAATTGTTCTAAAACCGGAAGAGGAGATTTCACAGAAGAACAAGATATCCCAGAAGAAATTGAAGAAACAAAAACTTATGGCACAGGCATAAATCCATCATAAAAGTAAAAGAATATTGGTTGTCTTTCTATTTCAAGTATCCTTACAACGTGGATAACATGAGTTTACCCTGTGCCTTTGATTTTGACTCATGAACATGCTGTTTTGAATTTGGGGGGAAAAAAGATAAGACAGCTCTTCTCTGATCCATTATGCACTGGCTTTCCAGTTTAACTCTCAGAAATTAATCTTATATCTCTTACTCCTGAGCCCTTGGGGGTCCAGACCCCTCTCTGTGCACCCTGGGGCTAATAACAGAGTTAAGTGATACAGCAGACATGAAGTCATGCTTCTCGCCCATAGAAGGTGCAGGTATTATTTCTTCTTGGTTCTCTTGACTAGTTCTCCACAGACCATCTTTGTGAAGGCATCTTGACCAGACCGATCACTGCTCCTCTTATCTGTATTAGTAATATGTGTAGAATACATCTGAATCTGTTGGTTTTGAAACCTTAGTATATAATTATTTCCCAAAGGATTCTTTCTCAAGTACTTGGACGCTTCCTTCAACTTAAAAGGAAGAGTAGCTGCAGTGACTTAAGGAAAATCCACAATGGATTTGCTCGGCTTGAAGGTGCTCAGGGGACAACGACTAGTATTTGTGAGAGTATATAGCACTTAGGAGTCTTAGTTAACAGTGACCACAACTTAGCTAAAACACACTCAAAAGAAAAACAAAATGAGTAAATTTGTGTATGGAAAGAGCTTTATTGGCTTAATCCAAGGAAGGGGTTGATCAGCAAACTGGTGGAGGGTAAGGGTTGCAAGTAGGCCCGAGAACAATGGGAACCAGGGTACAGGACCCCACTGGGCTGCTGCCTGCTTCCTGCCCCTGCTCCTCTTTTGCAGGCCTGCTTCAGTCTCATTTCAGGTCAGTCAACAATTCCCCAACTTTCTATTATGTTTTATAGGTTTCACCATCTGAGAGACTTCCTATATATTGAAAAAAAAAATCCATCCTAACTGACCTGGTTTGGGTTAAAGACCTATTTCTGGTCTTCTCAAATGAGATGCGGTAAGACTGAGGCAAGTGTACTCTTTTTTGAGCAATGTTGCACAGGAGTCAAGCATCCCTCAGAAAAAGGAAAAGTATCTAATACAGTGATTTCTGGGCAGAATACTCCTCAAAGCATTTGTTAACATGACCTAGGGGACCGCTAACTCCATAATTTATAGCCCCATGGTTTGAATCATTATGTTGATGTATGTATGTATTTAAGTTCATAAATGAAAATGATATATATTTGTGATGTATAATACAATGTTTTCACATATGAATGTGCTATGAAATGGCTAAATCTAGCTAACATACATGCATTGCCTCACATACTTATATTTTTGAGGTTGACAACATGTTTTTAAAGAATTATTTTTATTTAACTTTGTTTATTTTAATTTGGCCAGAGAAGGAGAGAGAGAGAGAGCAAGAGAAAGTGAGAAAGCAACTGCCAGGTCCAGGACTTGAACCACAGGTGGCCATGTGGTATTCCAGCTCACTTAACCACCACACCACCTGCCGGCCCCAGGGGGGACCCCCCCAGAGTCAGGGAGTGGGGTGGGGTGGTATTTTGACAACATTTCAATGTTTAAAATCTACTCTCTTAGCAGTTTAGTAAGCAATACATTGTTATTAACTGTAGTTACAGGGCTATACAATAGACCTCTTGAATTTATTCCTCTTGAATAGTTGAAACTTTCTGACTTTAGCCAATATGTCTCCCCCTCCTCACCCTCTGGCTGCTCTGTGAGTTCAACTTTATTTGATTTTTCATATATATGAGATCCTGCAGCATTTGTCTTTCTGTGCTTGGCTTATTTCACGGAATGTAATGTCCTCTAGATTCATCCATGACGTTACAAATGACAGGATTTCTTTCTTTTTTTATGGCTGAATTGTATTTCACTGTGCATGTGTATATACCACATTTCCCCAGCAGCGGGACACATGGTCGTGTTCTTAGTCAGCATTAGAGCCTCGTGACTTTGAGGGTCTTGCCACCCAGGCAGATCTTGAGATCCTAGTCAGAAAGACTAGCAGGATGACTCTGATCCTGCTGTTAACCCACAAGTCATACAGACATCCCTGCTCTCCAAATCCTTTGCATTCATGACATAAGTGACTTGTGGAGAAGCCAGCAGCTGCCTCTGTGCTGGGAGCCATTAGGTGAACCTTTGGGGTTCTTATTGTTATCCTGAAGGTATGTGTACATGGTGGTGATGGGAGAGGAGTGCAGGGATGGAGAGAGGGAGGGCATCATTTTCTCGGGCAGTTTTTCCTTCCATTGTGCATAGGCAGCTGGCTATACTTCCAAGGCAATGTTGAGAGGCTGGATTGCAACACGCAGATGAATGAGACAGCCCCAAACCTCTCTGTGTTTCCCAGTTGGGGGTACTAGGATTGGCGGGCGAGAAAGGTGGGGGAGTAGTAATAAAAATAAGTGCAACAGTTTACCGAGTGGCTGCTAGTCAGTATGGACTATGTTTTATTTTGTCTTATGGTGGGCAGAATCAGGGTTCCCTCTCCACTTGTCCTTGTGGGAACCAAGGACTTAGGACCAGGGCTTCTCTGGCCTCCACGTGCTCCACTCCCTTGGGAGGCTGATTGCAGAGGAGGCAATGCAGCCATGCCACATGATGAACCCTCACCCTGGGGCTGGCACGTTTTCTGGCAGGCCAGTTTTGTCCTCAGCCTTCAGGACTGCAGTATTTTTGCCTAAGGTCTGACTCCCTTTAAACTACCTTCCTTTTCTTCTCTGAAGAAGCTGAAGGTTCACAAAAATATTTTTGAGTTCTTTACATGATTCTTCTCGATTGAAATCCTTCGGAGCACCAGTCCTCACTGCACCACAGTGGAGTTTCGGAAACCTCTGAGACCACCCTGACTCCACAGTGATGTCTGTGCCTCTGTCGGCAGTTGCTAAGTGAGAGGTCTGCTCCAGCTGAACCTAGCACCATGGGGACATGCACACCTAGCTCTTCAGCTGCCACCATTGTCACCAAAAATTCTTGCTGCCGTACTGAATGTCTCTGAAGCTTTGACCCCATATTTCCAACCTTGGAAGACTCCTTTTATTTACATCTGTCCACTCATTGCGACTGCTGCCCAAAGTCCAAAGCCAAGGATGGATGAGACCAGCAGTTGGTGTAATGGCTATGTCACTGGACTCCCCTGTAGTTGACCATGGTTCAAGTCCCAGGCCCGATAGTTTAAACTCATGCCAGGCATGTGTGCCTGAGTGCCCAAGATCCCGAGAGGAGAATGGAGAAGGGATTGCAGTGTGGCCATCCCCTCTGGGGAATGATTTCTCACTTTCCGTCTTTCTGTCTCTGTCTTTCTGGCGAGTGTATGCACCTTATAGCAGAAACCTCTCAAATAAAAACAAACAAACAAACAAAAAAGCCAAGGATGGATGATGACTTTCAAGAAACTTCTAGTCAGAGAAGTTTGCAACTGAAGTAAATTTTATTTGTTTTGTTTTTTTTTTCCCTTTCGTGCATGTATCTGCGTGTGTGTGGTAAAATATAATGTGACATTTGCTATCTTAACCATTTTTAAGTGTACAGTTCAGTGATTAAGAACGTTCATAGTGTTATCTAATCATCACCACTACTTCTAGAACTTTCCACCATCAATCAGAAACTCTTGTCTCCATTTCCCACTCCCCCCAGTCCCTGGTAAACTCTATTTTACTTTCTGGGTCCTATGAATTTGCCTCTTCTAGGTACTTGATACACAAGTGGGATTTTACAACATGTGTCCTTTTGTGGCCAGCTGACTTCACCTAGTACCGTAATTTTGAAGTTCGTCTATGCTTGTGCTAGAACCTTAGGGATCTTGCCACCCGGCAGATCTGGAGATCTGTGTTATAGTGTTATTAGAGTTCTGCTTCTTTTATGGCTCAATAGTATTCCATCCTGTGTATGTGCCTTTTTTGCTTATCCATTCATCTGTCAATGGACCCTTGAGTTGTTTCCACCTTCTGGCTTTTGGGAATAATGTTGCTATGAACATCGATGTATCAATACTGTTAAAAACGGATCACGTCATTTTATCCTTACAAGAGCTCCATGACTCTAGGCACATTTTTGTCTCTAAATTACAAATGAGGAAGGTTATGGAACTGGAATGCTAAGGCCGATGTTCCAACCTGGAGGGTCTGACTGTTGCACTGTGCTGTCTTTAACGAATACAGTTCTATTTTTGAATTACTGTGCCCTGTAGACATTATTGGGCTGTTGGAAAAGTCATGATATATTTTTCTGTTTTTCCATGCAAAAATGCCTCTTAATTTTTCCGGCAACCCAATTTATACATAATTTCTAAGTCTTTAAGGTATTCTATGAGGTAGGTTTTATTATTCTTATATTACAAGACAATACTCAGAAAGGGTAAGGGAGTGTTACAGGGATGTTCCCCCAGGTATGTATGCTTCTCTGTATCCCCCAAAGCCAGAATGCAGTAGGCAGGTGGTTTCTTGGCATCTAGGATAGCCCAACTTTTCAGAAAAGACCAGAGGAGAACCCATGAGCACCACGTGAGGACTAGGATTCCACTGTGGCAGAGAAGTACTTTTATTTATTTTTTTTTTAGAGAGATTTTCGCTATAGGACATGTATGCTCACTAGAGAGAGACAGAGAGACAGAAAGTGAGAAATCATCCCCCAGACGGAATGACCATGCCCAAATCCCTTCTCCTTTATTCTCCTTTCAGGAATTTGGGCATGCATGCACACATGCCCAGTGTGAGTTTCAAGTCACCAAGGCTGGGACTCGAACTGTAGTTGACTACATGGGAATCCAGTGACCATTATGCCATTTGCTGGTCCCAGTGGCAGAGAAGTTCTAACCTACGTCCCAGATGAAATCAGGGATGCTTTCCCCCTGATTTTTTAAAAATGTAATTACCGGAGAGCACATGTGTGAACCAGAGGCAAACAGAGAGGAGGGAGGAAGAAAACACCCCCCAATGGGGCATGGTCATGCTGCAATCCCTTCTCTTTGATTTCTCCATTGTGTCAGGATTTGGAACATACATACCCATGTTTAATCAAGCTGCCAAAGCCAAGAATCGAACTTCAGTAGACTGTGGGATCTGGTTCCCTTAGTCACTAGCTACAGAGCCTCCCTTCCCCTGTTAGATTCTCAATAAAAGTTGTTTATTCCTTGGGGGGTGGGGGAAGATCTGCTCTTACAATGGCTAGGCCAATAACACCAGTAAAATGGATGATTATTTCCGTTGTTGATTAAATGTGGGAAAGATGCAAAAGGAAGTTAACACAAATCCTTTAAAACACAAACCCACATTTGCCTGACTTGTGATGACTGATTCTCAACAACTCCGAATTAGCTGGATATTTAGATAACATTTTGCCTATGTTTAGCCATGTGAGCACAAAGCCCTCTTGCACGTGCTTGGCTGTCTGTGTCCTTCAGCACCCGCCCTGGAAGCTCTTCTTTTGGCTCTCCTCATCTTTCTCTTCCCTCCTTTTGCAGCTGGGACACAAATGTACTTCCAGTTGTCATTTTACTAAAGGTCAAAAATGAACTGTCTTCTCCTCTAGAGAGGGATCCAGTGTGCATAACCTTCATAACGATTCCCCCTTTTGGATTTGCAGCCTGAGAAAATGGCATGTGACATTCCTAACCAAAGACAGCGGTCCATGTCGACAACCGGAGAAGCGCTATATGAAATTCTTGGTCTGCATAAGGGAGCATCGAATGAAGAAATTAAGAAAACCTACAGGTACAGAGGAAGTTTGGTGCTGACATTTCCCATGCTCCTAGTGTTAATTGCTTTGTGATTGGCAACTCTCTCCAATTAAAGACATAAGTTGTTTGTTAAGATCCGGTAATCTGATTTGGGGACCCATGTTCCCTTCTCCACAACACAGGCAGGTCAGAACCGACAGGTATGACTCTGCCTGATTTTATGAAAGAAATCTCTGGTGATGCCAAGTCTAAGAGAGGGCAACTTTTGTTCTAGGCCTGTGGTGAGAGGGAGAGAGACAGAGAACTATCTACAACCAATAGTTGTGACATCATAACCAGTATACTACAGTATCTGAGGTTTTTGTTGTTGTTTGGTTGTTTTTAAATAAAAGGGGACTTGTCGGGGCCAGCAGGTGGCATGGTGGCTAAGGGTGCAGGACTCTCACATGGCCAACCATGGATCAAGTCCTGGACTTGGTGGTTTGTTTTTTCACTTTCCCTCTCACTGTTCCTTTCTAGTCAAATGAAAAGATAAATAAACAAATAAAGTTAAATAAAATATTTCTTAAAAAAGGGGACTTGTCACAAATGCTATAGTGTATTCTATACTTTTTTCTATTTTATTTTATAATTTCGTATTTACATAATTGTTATACATCTTTGTGGAATGTAATATAGATTTTCAAAGCATCTATGCGGTATGTGACAAACAAATCAAAGATAATGCCATAGTCATTCTCTTTTTTGTGGAATAGCATAGAACAACTGACTGAAAAGAACAGACATTGCCAATTTTATAGCTCAAAAAAAAGATAAAGAATGAGAAGAAAGTAAAAAGCAAGCTACATTTTTTTCAGTCCTTCATTTTGATCTTTCAGATATAATTTAGTTCCAATTTAGCTATTTTGAGGAAAAACTACAATATCTTTTTATTTAAAGCCCCAAGGAATAAAAATGATAGGTCACTGGGAAAGTCACAATGTATTTTTCTATGCAAAATGTGTCATGACTTCCCTGATGACCAATAAGTACAAGAATTATTTGCTTACTGTAGAAAATGTGCAAATTACCAAACATGAAGACAACATTTATCCATAATTCTAGCAATAAGTATCATTGCTATTTTGTTTCTTTCTAGTTTTTCTTCTGTCTAGAAACATAAGACATTTAGAAGTAAAAGCTGATCTATGTATATTCTCCACCTATTTTCCCTAATAAGATTCTACCAAAAACACCTTGTTGTTACATAATCTGCTGTAGCCTATGATTATTCTGTAATTTATTTAATCACTTTATGAGCTATTGTTTATTATTTATTTATTATTATTCTTTTAGTTTATTTCTTTATTGAGGAATAAATCTGTGCCTTTATAGGAAAAAAAATGCATCAAAATATAAAGCCTTCAAACTTTAATCAGTTACTTCTTTACATAGTTTCAAAATGGGTTTTTAAAACTTTTTGTTTTATATGTGGAATTTTAATCTTTTAGGTAGACAAATTTGTTAGTCATCCTTTCTGGCTGTACCTGTGATAGTTCAGAAGTCTCTCCCAATATTATAAAAATATTAACCACTCTCTTCTTAGTTCATTTATAATTTTGCTTTGCATTAAATCTTTGATCCGTTTGGGTATTTTGGCAAAAGAATGAGGCACGATTCCAGATTTCTTTTCTCTCTAAATCATTACCTCACAAATATTTATTTAACTCTCCATTTTTATTTACCACTGGAGAATTCTTTGGTCTTGAATTGAAACCTTCACCATGCAGTCAGGAGTGGGGCCTGCAATGCTTTCCAGAATCATGTATTGAAGAATAAATGACAGAGGTGCAAACTACCATTTGAACCCACATAGTTCTGTGAAAGTGGTACAGTTTGATCAAAGTCAGTATCAATCCTCTGGTTCGTCTTTCACTCAAGGTGCTAGAAAGAAGTCTTTGTGTTTCATTTTGCTCTAGAGCTATTCAGGAGTGTGGTGGGAGCTGCCTAGCCCTTGCTGATGGATGTTCTTGGCTGAAGGTCCCTAAATATGACTGTTAAGGCCTTCAGACTAAAATACTGTGCTAGGAGTTAGGGGTGGGAATCAAAGTAATTGCATTGTAAGTTTAATATCTAAAAAGCACCCCCCCAAAATAGGGAGAGCAAGTGATATTTGACTACCTTGTCATTTTTAAAACCCACTCAACTTTATGAATGTGACTTTTAATTTCCTTTATTAATTTTGTAAGCTAAGATTTCAGGTCATATCCTAATTAAGTCATTAATTATGCTAAGTTGTTTGCAAGTTTAATAATCACAACATAAATTCTTTTCATGTAATTAGTGTCTTGCTATTAATTTTGTTTTAATGTCATACAAATATCATTTTTTCAGCTGATTAGGGTACTAGTATGCTGCCCAAAACATTTACTTCCATCTAAATTACACATTTATATTCTGCAAGTAATTCAAAATGTATGAGCAAGCAGAAAAGTCCACTGAGAATATTATTCTTATTCAGGGATCTGGATCAAAGCAGTCACAAGATGGTGAAATTAAAAGTCAGTGAAATGTAGTAAAATTACCAACTATTGAATCCATACAGCGTTTGACCTCTGTTGCAATCTTTGGTTGCACTCTTGAAAACAAACTTGCTTTCTTCTTGTACATTTTATTTTTATTTTTTAATGGATAATATTTTCACTTGATTAAAATAAGAACATACAAATAGGCATACAAAAAAACTCTCCCTTTCTCATCCACCAGGCCACTGCCCCAAGAGACACAATATTATCGATTCTTTGTATACCCTTCTGTATTTGCTATGTAGCATTGCCAACAGAAATAATCTGAAACCAGTTGATTCGTAAGAATAGAGGTTTATTCAGCTCATGGTTTGGAGGTTCCAGGCCCCGGGACCAACTTCTGACGAGGCTTCCACCTGGCAGAGGGCAGGATCTTCAACAGAGTGTCTGTCCATAAGGTTTTGCCTGTTCTGTCTCTTTAACTCTTATAAACTCACCAGAATTCAATCATGGGGCCCCATCTCTTATCACAGCCACAGGCTGTGCCCTAGGATACCATGAAGAGATTAAGTTTTCACTTAACACCTTTACAAAAAAACAAACAAATGAACAAAACCCTAAGGGCCAACACAGGAATTGTGGGAAGTCATCGGAACTATAGCAACTTCTATGGGAATCTTATGCCTATAGAAGGATAAAAAGAAAGAATTTCTAGCCTGGACAAGACAATTTAGACT